GCTTTCAGGTCGGTCCGGAAGCCGGGTTCGAGCTACAACCAGGAACGCACTGTTGTGCAAATCTTTGCATAAACAACTAGTATAAATAAATTGTTCTAAAAAATATTTAATATTTTATTCACAGTTTAATAAATATGTCAATAAAATATATATTAATTATTTAAAAAATGGGATCGGGGATCGGATCGGGCATACATTTCTCATTCCTAAAGTGGGGACCCGACCTTGTAGGAACTTTTGTCACTCCTAATGTAGAGATGAAAATAAATTTTTGAAGGAGAAATTTTAGAGTGATAAACAAAAAAGATTTAGAAAAAAAATAATTAGTGAAAGAAAAGTTAAAAGACAAGAAAAACTATAGAGAGGAAGAGTAAAGTTGAGAGGAAAAGGTTCGTTAAAGAAAAGAAAAAGAAAAATTATAGTAAGAAAAAATTTAGAGATAGAAACAAGATTAGAAACATTATTGTTAGAGAAAATAAATAATACAAAGAGAAATAAAAGTTATAGTGAAAGAAAATTGAACCATAAAAGAAGATATAATTTTAATAGGAAACTAGATCAGGAAGAGAAAAGAATGTAATTTTAGAGAGAGAAAAGTTTGGGAAAATATTAAATTTTTATAGAGATAAATGATAGTGATCTGTTAGAACAAAAAGAAAAGAAAAATAAAATTCATAGAGATGAAAAATTTGGAAAAAGATAGAAATAATGATAAATATTTAAGATATTAAAATTTTAGAGAGAAATTTATAAAGAAAAAAATTTAGAATGAGAAAGAAATTTGTTAAAGATAAATATCAAAGAAAAAAGAAGTGGACTATTGGAAGAAAAAAAGAGATTTTGAAGAGCAAAAATATCTTTCTAAATTTTTTTTTTTATTTACATAGAGTTCCTAAATGGTTTCTGGAAAACAAAAAACAGAAAATTGAATGGCTATTAAACCCTTTTTTTTTTCAAAAACTAAAAATCAAAAACAAAAAACGAAATGATTACCAAACGGGCTCTTAGTAATTATCTTTTTTGTTCTTAATTCTAAACCATTCAAGTTTGAACAGACCCGTCGTTTAATTTGCCACATCAGACTTCTCTTAAATCTAACCTCGTTTTTTATGACAGAGACTAAATTTTTACCAATTTTAATTAACGACAGAGACTAAATTGTTACCAATTTTAAAATACATGAACTAAATCGTCACTTTTTAAAATTCAGTTCAGAGACCAAATGTGTTTTTTAACCATAGTGATATAACAGGTTTCTTATACCAACTCCATAAACTTTAGTCAATAATATAAAATAAATAACATTTTTTTCTATTAATTTTGATTTTGATTCATAAATATTTGAACAAAGTTGAGAAAGAAGCAAACATAATTAAATAAATATATTTTTAAAGTAGATAAAATTAAATTAAAGTATTTATGGTGTATTTATTTAGTTCCTTAGAAACAAATAAATAAATAAGCCTCAATGAAATTTGTAAACAAATACCATATAGGTAAAATTAAAATTTTAGTCTCTCAATTTTGAGAGTTGTTCTCTATAGATCTTGAACTTCAAATATTTTTATTTTGCTTTCGATAGATCTTGAACTTCAAATATTTCTATTAATACGAGGTTAAAGTTTAAGAACATATTACAATCTTTAAAAACATATTAGACACAACAGCTATAAAAGTTAAAGTATCCCATCATACCCAAACCATGTATCGGCATAACACGTTAATTTTACGTTAATTTTAATTAATCCATATATTATGTAAAAATTTAATGCCTGTAAGATTGAATTTTAATTGTAACAAAAACCTTTCCGTGCTAAATCATTGAAGATTCATTATAAAAAATTTCCATGGAAAAATACCATAAAATAAAAGATTTGGAAATTAAAGGTAGTGACTAAATTTGGAATTTGGAAAAAATGAGAGACAAAATTCAAATCTATAATTTGAGAGAAGTTATTAACATTTTAACCTGTTAGGTTATACTCAAATTAGCATAAATCCTCGACCGGCTCAGATGTAATGTAAATGCAATTAATTAATCTTTGCTTTGTCTTGAACAAGAAAGGAGAGAGAGATCTGTAATTTGAGGGAAGTTATTAACGTTTTGACCCGCTCAGCTATACTCAAGTTAGCATAAATCTTCACGGGTTCAAATTTAATGAAACGCCATTATTTTTTTTCCCTATGTCTTGAAAAGAAGTGAGAGAGAGAGAGAGATAAAATGGCATGTATAACTTAACTTGCATTAAAGGATATAAATTCAAGAGACTAAATGATAGTAAGCTAGAGGCATAGTATTTGAAAGGGACGAATGAGGAATGAACTGATTTGGAAAACAAACGATCTACTGAAGCTTCTTTATCCCAGGAAATGAAGGTAGAACCGCAATAAGAGCATCTCCATATCCAACAGGCTCTGTTATAAAATGATGAATTCAGAAGCCATTACTAATGAAAATTTCACTAAAAACGTCGAATACCGACGTACCTCCGTCCTTGCGTAGTATCTTCACGACTTCTCCAGATATGTCAGACTGCAAAATGAAATGAATTAAAGAAACAACACCCAACAGTAAGATTTATGTGAATATAATCAATTCAGTACAACCGAAACAGCAGGAGGACACAGAACATGTCAAAGGAATGGTATGGAACATGAATAATCAAACACCGACGATTCCTCTGTTCGATGGATACTGACTGTAGAAGTTTAAGGTAAAGACTCGAACCTCGATAGGGATCTCCGCACCTAACTGATCAATGTAACAAAGCACTTGACTCTCTTTTACTACCTGGTTCTGTTTAGTAAATCTACGTTAGTTAAGTTTGATATATCATCATCATATGTCATAAGGTGAAAGTGCATGGGAAGATCAAAATGCACCAGGCCAAAAAATTCCAATGTGTTCGTTTAAGCTGGCACTGGGGAGGGGGGCATTTATCGTACCTCTTTACATGATGGCGGAGCACGCTTGCCTTTTATTGTCCGAGACCGCCGAAAGATCCCAACCTGCATTCAAATCTCACCTCACTGTCCACAATTTAAGAAATAAAGAAATAAGCAAAATTTTTGTATACTTACTTTAGGAGATTGAAGTATTGCTAGGCCTTCATCTGTAGCTTTTTCTACAAATCTCGAGATCCCTGCCGGAGAAGAAGAAACAGGCTCTGCTTTGAACAAAGCTAATGATGTTGTTTTACCTGATCCATTCAAATCCGATCCTACAGAACTTGCATTTTGACTAGCAGGAGCAGGAGTGTGAGCTAGGGGAGGAGGTACATCTTCGATTTTTAAGCCCCTCACCATATGCAAATCAAATCCACTAAGCTAATGTAATAGCACAAGGAAAAAAGAAAACATTTGAAACAAAGAAGTTAAATATACCAAAATGTATTTTCCTCTCTGTAGAAAGAAGAGCACAACCATATTATTCAAATAGTTTATTACTACTTACTCTCAGTTCAAACTCCGTAATTGAGGACGTGTCACATATGTTTGTGAGCAGGATTTCGACCTGCACACGATATCGAATGAAAAGTATGGTTCAGGTTCCCGAAATGATATCGCTAACGCTATTTGAGGAGATGTTTAATTTATTAAAAAAAAGGAAGAGAGAGCATCATTATATGAAACCAAAAAGCACATAGGTTAGATGGATGGAACATAGTAAAAGGTTGTTGAAGCTGCTCTTAGCCAATTTCAAGCTGCAATATAAATGAGAATTCAATGCTCGTCGCTTGATAAGGAGTAAAGATACCAATATGGATGAATCGTCTATTAGTCCACCATACTAATCAAGTTTACGGTTGTCCAACCATGAACTTACCTTCCCTGTCCTAACTATCGCCCTTATATTGCTTCTTCCTGACTAGTAGCGAACATGAAAAAAGCAAGAATCTACCAGTATATTGAATAAACTTTTAATTCATAAAAAGCAAGTCTACCTCATGCAAATTTGGGATAAGTTGGCTTGCCAAACTGGAAACTTTTGTTTCTTCAGAACCTCTTTTCAATCTGGTTATGGCTGTACCTCATCAATTAGACAGATGCAGCAAATCAGAGAGAATCAAACATTCCAACAGAATTTAGGAAACAAAGTATAACAACAATGTTGCACATAGTTTTGCAAATTATGGTTCATGTTAAATTCTTTATGCCAATTTTGAACACCGTAAGTTGAGTGAAAGCTGTTAAGGTTGATTTGACAACCTCCAGGAGATTAGAGAATGCAAAAATGTACATACCTTGAGGTGTATATGAAAATGAATAACCTACCTTTAAAATTCAATAGTAATTGACTTTTGAAAGATGACTCAAGAAGAGAAGTCTTGGTCATTTTTCAACAAGCTTAGCCTAATTCTAATCCAACCAACCACACCAGCTTACCAATTTGTTGACTAAAAGTAAGTTCCTAATGTATCTTTCTATTAAAAGAAAAACTCAACATAACGCAAAAACTTAGAGTGAGAAAAACTATGAACTCTACATAGAAGAAAATTGCAAAAACTGACTTTTGACTACAATTACATAATGTGTGGCATTCATGAAAAGACTATAAGTTAGATAGGCACATACTCTGGGTCTCGGGCGATGTACTACTACATGCATGTAAAGCCACCTTGCGAGACAAGTGTGATATTACCAAACCCGAATATTGTGGCAGTGTCCTGCCTATCCAATTTCTTAACGTACAAGGTGGTGAAGTAGAGACTCTTTCCCTACTAACATCCAACCTTGAGACTTTAAAATCTGCAGTTCTTAAGCTGCCTGCAATATGATGGGACAACAGCAACAATGATATTATCAAAATAAAAATCTCACACAACTTCCTTAACAATCAAAGACTGAAAAGTGTGTTTGGCATGTCGTTTTAAAGTGTGTTTTTAAGTAAAAATTTGTACTGTTTGTTTGTTTAAAATTTTAAAGTTTGTTTCTACCTCTCTAAAAGTACTTTTCAAATTTTGGTGGTTTAAGAAATTTAAAAAACAATAAAAGTCACTTAAAAAGTTCTTTTACAAGAAGTATGTTGTTGCAAAAGTGCCTAACCTAAAAACATCTTTTCTTAAAAGTGATCCTAAACTCACCCTCTTAGATTGGTGTTTTCCATATGTTCTGTCATTCTCATCCCCAAATTGAAAAATTAACCCGTTCTCGTTTTCCAGCCATTAGCACTGAAATTCAAGTCTCGGGTTAAGTGGGAATTGGGGACAGAGAGTTCGAAGTCATGAACATTCATCAAAGTTAATCATCATTCCCGCGAGAATACGGCATCAAGATGGCTCCGGTTTAGAAATCATTACAAAATTATAGCTGTCTTGAACCCCACAGAAGAATTAAAACAGAACTCAACCCAGATACACAGTAATTTCAGCTGAATTGTATCAGTCAAGTCACAACCCATGCGCGAGACTGGTAAAACACACAAAACTAAAGCACCCAAAAATCGAAATATACACAAGAACAAAAAAACACTAAATGGAAGCAGAGGGTAGAGAGAAACACGTACAGGAAGAGGAAGCCATTGAAGGAAGAAGCTCCGGAGAAATTCAGAGTGTGGTCCAACGCTGCGAAAAATATATAATTATAGAGAGACAGACAGGGCTAGAAAAAGGGCAACAATTTTGGTGGCTTGCAAAAGCAAAATCCAAAGATAAGAGAAAATCTCCCGGAGAGAACGGGCTTTCGTAAGAGAAATCCGAAGAGGAAGAGAACCCGTTTTTCATCTCAAATGAAAAAAAGAACCAAAAATCGAAACGTACTATTTAGGTGAACAGTTGGGCCTAACGGACGCAAGTGCAATATGGAAATATATTCTTTATTCATTAAATCCGGCATTTTTGTATTTTAAAAAGATTTTGGTAAATATCTAAACTTTGAAAATTAGGTTTATTTGATTTTTGTACTTTTTAGAAAATTTTAGTACATCTTTAAATTTTCAGTTTTATATTTAATAGATCTTACTTAGCTTTATTGCTCTAATGCTAGCTTTTCTTAAATCAACCTCACACTTAAATAAAATAATTAGTTTGTCGTGAAAATATTTAACTGACATAATTAATTAAAGAAATATATTAGTCTGAAAATTTAAGATCAATAATTCTTTTCTTTTTAAATAAAGTAACTAAATAGACACAATTAAATTCTTTTTAAGGTAAAATGATTAAATAGACACCGTTATAATTTAATCATCTTTTTTATTTTATATCATCATTTTGTTTGAATTGCAAAATTACAATTCAAAAAAAAATATTTTAAAAAAATTATTAATATCTTGACTAATTTAATGATATCAGGTTAGTTTTGTAATTGTTTTAAATTCAATAATAACTTTAACCTAACTTTAAAATATAATTTCTATTATAGTTCAAATAGATTAGACATACTAATATCATCTTCAAATAATATATACTTCAAATGGATTAGACATACTAATATCATCTTCAAATTTGATAGTTCGATTCACGACTCTGTAATGGTTGAATTAAAAAAATAGAATTCTCTAAATTGTGATTAGTTAAATTTATAATTGATAAATTTAAATTGTAAATTAATTATGTTTGACCAAAGGAACTTATTTTTATATGACCCTTTAAAAGAAACAAAAGATGTTTGAGAATTTAGATTATCTCGAAAATATGAAATTATTAATAATTGAGCTTGGTTTTACTTCTACGGAGTCTTTCTTAGTGCGTTTTTTTTTAAACCAGTGCGTTTTTTGTTTTACTTGTGAATAAATCTTCTTTTTACTAGTAGACCGAAAATACTAGTTGGAATATAAATAAAAGATAATAAATCTTCATATTTCCTTTCTAAAATTAATTAGTCTCAAATAATGTAAAATTAATCACGAAAAAACTGAATCTGACAATTAAAAACTGATCAAACAAGTTAAATTACTATCACAAATAAATAAACTGATCAAACAAATTAGACGAAGTTTTAACTTTTTCCTTTGTTTAGTTCAAACCTCCAATCTTTTAATTGAAAATTACAGTGATCTAGAATTTTATCTCAAAGGCATAGAAATTCATATAAACATAATAGGAAAAAGATCAATTTTAACTATGAACTCGGCTAAGTCCAACTCATATTAATTCAACAGTTAAGTCTGCTCATTTCCTTGAAGTAGGAAGTTCAAACGGATATGATTTATGCCCTAAAGCCTCATAGTATGTAAACTTTCAATGGTTGGTGACCAAAACAATTATTTGATTTTACTTTTTTTATGTGTTAATATTATCCATTTTTTTAAAATCTAAGGTCATAAATGTAATATTGGACAAAATATACAAAATACTCTTTTTCAAGTTGTAACCTAAATAGCCTATATTATACTGATAAACTTGGGTGCGTGATAATTGTTATAAATTAGGTTCTTTTCAATTTATTTAATTAATTTAACATTCTTATTATGTTAAGTGGTTTATTGGACTAATATCTGTTTTTTGCTAAATTGATTTGATTAATATTCTTGCTACCAGTTTAATTAATTATATTAGATAATTAGTTGTTGTGCCAAAATAAAAGTAAGGGCAACTCACCTATTTTCCCCTTTTATCTCGTTAGTTGTACCTATCTATTATTAGGTTACTTTGTTAATTTACCTAATGTTTATTTTGTGTTTTAAGTGGCCATATATGTGTTAGCTTTATGGCTTTAATCAAACCAAATATTTTGATGATCATAAATCAAACCAAGTATAAACTAATAATTTGAGTGTTTCAAAGTATCCATATCATAGAGCTAGAAAAATCAAAACGCACGTGTTTCGGAATCACTCACATTGGAGTTCAAACGAAGAAATTATGGTCAATACAAGTCGGGAGAAAAATCTTAGTTATGGTCAATACAAGTCCGGAGAAAAATCTTACATGGTGAGTGATGTGGACAAGTGGATCACTAAGAAGTTGACACGTGGCATCAAGAGGTCATATTTTTGCTCATGTGGCATCCAACAATCGAGTCATGAGAAGACAACATGTGACGTATTCAAATTTGAAGAATTTAATCATTACCACAAATTTCTCTCAGTCCAGAAATTCTCTTCAATCTTCATAAATTCTTTTTCAATCCCCACAATTTCCCCAATTCTCCAAAATCCTCGTTATTTCTTTTATTTACCTTACCTCTTAATCTACCTCGTTAATCTTTTCTACCACTAATCCAATGGCTAATCTAAAAAGTCTATTTAAAGCCACCCAATTCTCATTTCTCCACACACCAAATACCAAAGCAAATATTTTTCTCTCTTCAAATTTTTCTCTCAACTTTTTGAAAAATTTGTACTCTCCCTTACACGTAACTTTTTTTTTTTTTTTTTCAGGAGATACATTAGAGCATGGGTTTGTACTGTTCATTTTTATTTTGGGTTTTGTATTAAGATGTGACTATACACTAAATGATGAGAAAACACAATTGGTAGAATCTTGAACCAGTAAAAAGAATCGTGAGGTTTCTTTTAGCCTATGATAAAAAGAGGGTTGATTGATTTGGTTCTCATCTATAAGAGAGTTGTTGCATTAAGCTACCAAAGAAGAAGTCTTCGGGAATGAACCAGGAACTTCCAAATCACTATAAAATTTTTTTGGTGTCACTTATTCCCTTCTCTTCTTTAACTTTTACATTTAATTACTTTGAATTACTTTACTAGGTTGCATGATAGAATTATTTAATTATTTTGTGCAATATTCTTCTCATTATTGTTAATTATTTTCGTGTTGATTGCATAATTATTTGTTACTCTTGAATTTATCTTTTTACTTTTGAAAATGTTGTAGGCAACTTTATTCACCACCTCTAGCATTGTCATTCGATTCCGCAATTGGTATCAGACCGTGTAACACTTTTTTTTTTTCTAAAAAGTTTCTTGAAAATTTTTATTCATTTTTAAATCTTGAATTTTCTTTATTTTTTAAAGAAAAGTTTAAAAACAATTGAATTTTTGAGCGGATTTCACCATAAAATAATTGTCCTAAAAAATTCACTTTTGAAAACTATTTTTCTACCCTTATTAAATTCTTAAAATTTATTTTATTTAGAATAAATCTTTGAGATATATTTTTTAAAAATTTATCTATTTGAAAATTTAATTTTCTTGATTTTAAATTAATTTTCTTTTTAACTTTTCTTGAAACTTAATTGTATGAGGCAAATATTGAGGTTAATGAATTTAACCAGGGTTACTCTACCACTACGCGACCTCTTTACTATGGAAATAATTATACTTGGTGGAAAATTAGGATGATAATTTATTTGATGTCAGTTGATTATAACTTGTGGGAAATTGTTTCTCAATGTCCCTTAATTATTAAGAAAGCTGATAATGTTGATTGATGAGTTTGACTTTTTAATGCAAAAAGCTTATTTTCTCAGGATGTTCGAGTGTAAAAACAACTTATTCTCTCTAATATTTTATTAAAAGTTTTTACATATTGTAAAGGAAGGACCACAGTTGAACATTTCTGGATAAAATGCAAAATGGAGTAATTAGAGATGAAATGAGATAAATCGTGGTCAATCACGTAAAAATTCACGTTTTCCAACTCTGCAGGAAAAAAGCACTCTCCAGAAAATTCACGTTTTCCAACTCACGTATTTTGCTCATGAGGGCATAGAAGACAACTCACAAATAGACTGCCTCAGTCAATTCGACATGTTCTCGGTAAAAATCATTCAATTTTACAAAATCTCAACACTCTCCTCCTATTTTGATGGTCAACCAACCTCAAGCCCTATATAAAGGACAGCTCCCTTTAAAAATTTGTCATCAATCTCTTCATTTCAGTCTTAGATTGTAGCTAGAATTCATTGTACTTTTTTTTCCTTTGCCATTTATTGTTTTTGAAACCCTAGATCGTAGAAAACCCTTGTTAAATATAGTTCTTGTTTAAATTCAAGTTTATTTAATTTGTACTTTATCTATTTCATTTCTCTAAACGCTTTCTAGCGAGTTTTAACTCCCCTCGAGCTCGAAAGCTGAGATGAAGGTTAAACTAGGGCTCGTTGTACTTTGTTATTCGTTAATTTTAACCAATGGAAAGTTTTTATCTTATTTCTTTGAGCGTTTTTCTAAACTAGTTCAATTTTCAACCTCTCTATGGACTGCCTTAGAAAAATTTATTTAATATTAACACAGATGAAAAAATCCAGTTTGTGCCTGGCACATTTCTAGGTTAGTTTCTAAAATTTTTCCTCAATCAATTTCTTAGGTTAGCCGCCAGGAAATTGATCTATTCACTAAAACCTAATACGGAGAAGGTTGGGTTAAGTAACATATTAGGGAACTAACATGGGATCTGACTTAGACATAAGCGCATAAACCACGGTCTTAGACATAGACCCTCTGACCAATAAAAGTAAATAAGTTGATAATAACATTCTAGGATTGTAACCACGCATAGACATATGACAGTAGGTTACCCTAGGTTCCGAAACAACCAAAACCGGTTCATGATAAGAGTAGAACTCAATTTCTAGAAATGTGTCAAGTAGCGCATAGCGCTTTCTTCACCAATGTGTATTTTACTCAAAACTAAGGTAGGAAGTAGAGAGGTTATTTTTTTATTATTTTTTTAATAAAGTAGCTTGATATTTGCAAACTCGAATCGCAACTTTATCACCTATTTTTACACATAGAACTCAATTGCAGTTTGAAACACTTCATTTCAATTGATTCTGAAAGCAAAAGTCCCTCGAGCATACAATCTTATTATTACTTCATTGTATTACTAGTGGCCGTA